TATACTGAGTTCTAGCTGGGCTTTGGCCTCTTTATTTTTCTCCCTGCATAGCCCCACAAGGTCCTTGTACTCCTCATGAGCTGCTTGTCCCTTCTTCCATGGATCATAAACTCTCTTTTTTTTCTTGAGCTCCAGCCTAAACTCACTGTCCAGCCAGACCGGTCTTCTGCCCCACTGGTTCATTTTCTGGCACATGGGGACGGCCTGTTCCTGCGCCTTTAAGATTTCCTTCTCATTTGGATACTGGAAACCTCAATAAATCTGGCCCAAGCTGTTATTAAAAAGACAGTTGAGTATGAAAGGAGGAACTAACTTTAAAAGTCTAGTTCTTAGGGCGTTCCTCCATTATATCCTTCAGGCAATAAGACTTCTAATAGAGGCACCTGCCTGCAAAGTGTTACATACCATCAGTCTCTGTTGGGAAAAAGCAGGAAAAGCAGTTGAGGGAAAGCTGAAGAGGAGTAGACTTGGGTAACTATTCACCACCTAAAGTCTTGCCTGCCTAGTAAAATGAGCTTTGTTTCCAGCTGGCATCTCTCAGACTTTCAGTCTCTGTGATTGTGTCTGCAAGTCAAACACACTCAGCCCTCTGTCCCCTGTCATTCACCACTACCCAACAAAACTAATTGGAACACTCTTGCTACCCCTTGTGGGAACACTACGCAATGATGTATTTGCTCATCCCTGTGCTGACTTCCTCCTATTCATGTCTTAAGGCTTATACGTGTCACTAAAGGTGGAAGCACAAAAGATAATGAAGCTGCTGTTCATTGACATATACTGCTTATCTTCCCTAAACCAAAGTATTGGAACAGCTGTACAAGTTAGATTCAAATCATCTCCTGTTAATGTGGAAACTTCACATTAAAGACAGAGGAAGAACACACTTTGCAGATTAGCAGTCAGAAAAAGGGTTTTGTAGAGCTGCTGGACGTTTGATAGGTACAGTGTATCTTTCCTAGACTCAAAAGTAATACCTCAACAATAAGAGGTCTTACCTTTAACCTCTTGTTGCTTCTTCCACTAATGAAGTGTATATAAGAGGAATCTGCCTTTCTGGACTAAGACTATCTGAGCAGCTGTCTGTAAGAAGCAACTTAGTTTTGTCTATCTCTGTTTATTTAATTTATTTATTTGAGTCCCTGCTCTTGAGGACTGTGGTCACATGAAATTCTCATTGTCCCTTTCCCTTCTTTACCCTTCTCAGCACTCCTCATCCCTTCCTCTTCTCACACTTTTTGCACTTATCTTCCTTTATTTGCAAGAAAAACTTGAAAGCTCTACCCAGTTTTAGTCTTAGTCTTTAGTCAAAGAAAGAAGATGAGCCCTGGTTGGAATTGGAGAAAGCTTTATATTTTTATATTCTTTTGATTGTTTATTTCTGAGGTACATTTCTTGATACTTCCATGCCTAAGTTTGACAATAGTCATAATGTGAAAAACCTGTGCATTGTAAGTAGCTTAGGCTGCAAGAGAGAGTGGATCATCCCTTCACTAGTGTAGCATCAGGAGGACAAGTGCTGGGATGTGAGTCTTTTTCCATCTCAGGGACTGCAGAACTGAATGAGTCTCCATTTTTCCTCCTTTCCTCTCTGGAGCTTAACTCTCAAACTTCCATTCCCTACAATGAAAACACAATAAACATGCAGGCTTGAATAAACTCAAGGGTTAAGGTTGTTCATTATCCAGCAGTTGTCTGAACTCCCCTGAGGACTCTACCTGGATCCTCTGGAAAAAATCAGAGTGAGATTTTAAGTGGTGGTCGGCTCTCCCATGCCACATAGGTCAAAGAGGAGAAGCCAGATGGAGAGGTGTGTGCTGGTCCTATCCCAGCAGGAATGAGTCAGAAACAGGCCATCAGCCCATCCTTTTAAAAAAGCTGAGTTGTAGCATCACAAACAAGGGTAAGCCTTTGGAAAACAGCATCACATACAAGAATAATTAGTTCTCTGGTATGCCATGAAACATTATTTACCCTCAGATAAAAGTGAGAAAAACCCTCCAGTCTTTTACAGCCTGCTTCCTGCTACTTTCTGAATGTGGACTAGCCCCTCTGCCCTTACAGCACTTCAGCTTTCCTTCCTGGTTGCCAAGCTCGGACATAATAATTCCAGATGTCTTGGCAAAGTCACCAGGTGACTCTAGGAGAGATGAAAAAAAGGCTGCAATGCTTTGATGTGGAAGAATAGGGAAAATCTCCATTTCCCACTTCCATCTGCACATGCTTAGTGAGGCACCTGCAATCAGGCAGTCATGATGAGTACAAACAAATGGGTGATCATGTTCAGTGAGCTCAGCCCGAGTGAAGTATTTCTGATGCTGGGGCTTCAGAACTGACAAACAGTCTGGGTTTTAGTTTTTTGATGTGGAGGTACAACCAGAAATATACTGGCAATGGGCAGAGGAACATGATGCTGTGACATAAGGCAGGGAAGAATTCAGGTGGGCAGCAGGTGTTTAAGAATAACTGCCTGTACACATGCCCTTAACTTACAGTAAACACAAGGAAACTGCATGTTCATGTGAAAGAAATTGACTACCTCCCACATACAGAGGATGCTGCAAATGTGACAGCATGCACTCCAGCAGTTACCAGGATTAATGATTAATGATCACTCATTACAGCCATGGGTACACAGAGTATCATTTCCTCCTAGGCAAAGCTCCATAGGTCTATGCCATCTATTGAGACTTCCAATACCATTTCACATAAACCAATTTTTTAGTAGTCAGCGACACTAAATTACCTGATCTGCTATGCATTTAAATCAAAGTGGAAATCCCTATGCCAAGGAAATACTATCTGCTGCAAGACTGGAGGTCCTGCCAGCTACACATCAGAACCCATTCCTACAAGAGGGTACCCAACAGAGATAGCTGGACCTTAGATCCAAGCACTCAAAAGGAGGCAATTCTTCCTATAGTGGGTTATGAATCTGGAAAAACGTGCTTATCTGAAGACTCCTGGTGAGACCAATTAAACTGCTTTTCTGAAGATGTAAATACTGATTGTTTGCATAATTTCAAAAAGGAAGATTGGATGAATTAATAGAAGTCCATGGAGAGCTCCTAATGGCACTGAAACTATTTCTGGCTCAGAAAGCTCCTGAGCTGAAACTAAGTGGGTGGCTGGGAGAGGCACCAGCTTATGGTTTCTTCCAAAGACAAGATATAGGCTAAAGTAACCTTTGTTCTGATCCAATAGAAGTTTGATTTTAAGGGTGATGAGTTCAGAGTTCACTTGTACAATTCTGGGACACTAAAAGGGAAGACTTCAATTTGGTTTTAATTCTTCTGCTCCATCTCAGAGGGATCTAAGAAACATAAAAGTAGGTGATGTGAAAGAGCTGACTAAACACCTCTGAACTGCAAAAAATGTCACCTGGAAGACATATTAAGTCTTGTTTTAATTGTTCTATCTTAACAATTTTGTCTGTAGCAACCCTAACACTGTTTAACAACCACTATATCTTACTTGTGTTACATTTTGTCAATGTTTTTCCAGGTGTTCCTGAAGCAGAAGTTACTTGGTTTAAAAACAAGGTCAAGTTGTCCTCTGCTTACCATCTACATGATGGGTTGCTGCTAATTGCAAATGTTTCTCTGTCAGATCAGGGATTGTACTCATGCAAGGCAGCCAATCTTCGTGGGGAGGTAACTGAAAGCTCCCAGCTGTTGATTCTTGGTAAGTCCAGGGTATTTTGCACTTGCAGCAGTAGTAGTGTAATTGCTGGCACATCTAGCCTGCAGAACTAAACAGAGGATGTGAAAAGAAGGAATGGCATAAAGGCAGAGCTGTTCTAAGAAAATAAAAAGTCTGCATTTGTTCTCTGGGCAGCATCACCTGAGAAGGTAGTGGTAAAAGGAAGACAGATAACGAGAAAATGCCTAAACACAGGGACAGCACCTCCCAGTCCTGACATATTCAGTTTCAGTCTTTCAGACTTACTAGCCAAGAAAAGCATTTATTAACCATTTCTTAAAGTGGGTGTCTTGAAATGAGAATGATGCCACTTTTTCTGTGTGAAGTGCTTTGCCTTTGCTGAGCAGCCTTTCCATACACTACTGTGTGATACTGACCCATTTCACATATAACAGGTGCATAAACCCACTGCACTTTTAAAAAGCACTTCCCAAGTTCAGTGAAGGGCAAAGTTTCCTCTTTCTTGGATTTCTAAACAACAGACAGAAAGCCCAGCTGCATGATTTAATAAGCCAATGTCAGCTGTGAAGTATGGGTGGAAGTGTTACTTAGTGGGAATTGGATGTGTGGGAAAGGGGTTTCCTTTCTTAGTAACTCATCTTCTACCATTTCTGGTAGAATGATGGTAGCAGATGAGTGATTCAGACAGAGTTTGTAAATGCTTCTGTATATTTGATAGTGAAGGGTTAAATTTTGAAACCTTGTCCCTGTTATTGGTGGAAAACCATTAAAGCATTTGTTACAGCTCTCATCTTTCATGACTAGAGTGAGCACAGGTTCCATGGATGATGCAGCTTCCAGAGGAAGTTTTAAAGTGAGTTTTCTCAGTTTCACGGACAATATTAAAACACCTTTATGAATGTTCACATGTGAATCCTGACTGACTTTAGAAACTGAGTCTAAAAAAAATATAAAAAACAAAATCATATGGGTTTCATCCTATAAATAGAATTTGCCACGTGATTTTTAAATCCTTTTCTGATCTTTATTAACAGCTTAGTTTTTAAAGATGGAAAGTTTCTATGAGTTATGCAAGCTGCTTATGTTTTAGGCAAATCATATTTTTACTTCCTTGATGGAAACAAACTGTTCAAGCATCTTTGACTTGTAATCCTGCTGCTAAGTGTGATCAGCAATAGAAAACTTGCTTAGTATCTGTTATGATCTAATTGAAAGGGGATGAAGCCACCATTCATTTAAATCAAATATTCCATCATTTCCATGACAAACAGAATTGAGAATAAGCAACGAAATCAAATTTTAAAATAGCATTATGACTACAGTAAAGAACTAAATCCTGCAGTTCTCAGCATAGATTGATCGTCTTGAACTCTGACGTCTTAGTCTTTTGGAGCTCTGCCTAAGTATACCACAGGGTTATAACCATACTTAATCAGGGCTTGATCCAGGTTGTAGCAGACAGTAAAAAGTTTTCCACTGACTGCCATGGACATTTGATTCACCTTCTATGCTGTATAAATTTGCTCTTTCATCCAAGCTGCTGTATCTCCTGATACCATGTATCTTTGTCACATAAGAGGGTCAACCAGAATGCCATGGCAGACTTCAGACACAATTTCTTTTATTTTGTGGTCATATTGATGCAGGTGTTATTTTAATAATGTCTCTAGCACCTTTAGGTGCTTAGACTGTCCCTCTGAAAGGGTAATATTGTAGCATGGCAAATAACGCAGCAATAGCTGGTGGTGGGTTTTTTTATGTCCCTGAGATGTTTTCAGCTATAGTGTTGCTCATCACTTCAGTCTCCCAATCTGTTACCAGAGCCTCCACGACCTCTTCCTTACCTAGAAGACTTGACAGCAGTGCTTTCCAGTGCTGGGACCAGGACTCGTTCAGTGCTGACCTCTCCTTCAGGAACAAAAATGACTATCAGTCCAGACAGCTCTGCTCTCATAGGTAAGTCAAGTGCCTTAAGATTATTTTAGATTAAAAAAGGTTTAGAGTTTAGTTTACAGTTATGCATTCAGTTATCCATTAGTTATGCATCCAGTTACCCAGCCACAGAGGACTGGGACAAAAGACATCAAAACTGGTGGCACATTGTTAGTTAAAATCACGGCCAAATTGTTCTCAGAACTCAGATACTCATTTTAAAAAAGAAGGTCTTCTTAATAGTGTGATGTCCCGGAGTCGCAGGCAGAATAAGGGCTCCATTGTGCCATATTTTACAACACCCTGTAAGAAGGGGTCCCTGCTCTGAGGAGGCATTAATCTCATTCAGTGCAAGACATGGCAAACTGGTGTGCCAGTTGATCTAAGAGAAGAAATGCTTGTGGTTCTGTTTCTCTTTTTTTTTTCCCTGCATTTGGGTACTAGTCTTCCTGTATGTCTGCTATTCATATTGTATATCCTTCTTCTTCAGAGCTTTTTCTAGAGTTTTGTCTGTCCCTCTAGACGTGTTTTTTCTCGTGCAAGCTCTCTGTTTCATTCTGTTCATTCTATTCCTCTTTGTTATATCACACAACCAAGATGTATTATTATCTTGAGTGCAATCACACGGCAAGTGCAGGACAACTGAGGGATCAGGCCTAGTCTGCATGGGTTCATTAAAGGCAGGTCCTGTTTGACCAACTTGATCTCCTTCTATGACCAGGTGACCCACCTAGTGGATGAGGGAAGGCTAGACTTTGGTAAAGCCTTTGACACAGTTTCCCACAGCATTTTCCTGGAGAAGCTGGCAATGCATGGCTTGGACAGGTGTACTCTTCGCTGGATTAAAAACTGGCTGTATGACCAGGCCCAGAGAGTGGTGGTAAATGGATCCAGCTGGCAACCAGTCATGAGTCATGTTCTCCAGGGGTCAGTATTGGGGTCAGTTCTGTTTAATATCTAAACTTATGATCTGGATGAGGGGATTGAGAGCACCCTCAGTAAATTTGCAGGTAACACCAAGCTGGGAGGAAGCGTTGATCTGCCTGAGGGTAGGAAAGCTCTACAGAGAGACCTGGACAGGTTGGATGGGCTGAGGCCAGCTGTATGAGGTTCAACAAGACCAAGTGCCAGGTCCTGCACTTCAGTCGTAACAACCCTATGCAATGCTACCAGCTTGAGGAAGAGTGGCTGGGGAGCTGCACAGTGGAAAAGGACCTGGGAGTGTTGGTTGACAGCCAGCTGAACATGAGCCAGCAATGTGCACAGGTGGCCAAGAAGGCCAATGACACCCTGGCCTGTGTCAGGAATAGTGTGGGCAGCAGGAGTAGGGAGGTGATCCTTCCCCTGTACTCAGCATTGGTGAGGCCACACCTTGAACACTGTGTCCAGTTTTGGGCCTCTCACTACAAGAAAGACATGGAGACCCTGGAGCATATCCAAAGAAGGGCAATGAAGCTGCTGAAGTGTCTGGAGCACAGGTTTCATGAGGAGCAGCTGAAGAAAATGAGATTATTTAGTCTGGAGAAGGGGAAGCTCAGGGGAGACCTTATTGCTCTCTACAGCTACCTGAAAGGAGGTTGTAGCGAGGTGAGGGTTGGTCTCTTCTCCCAGGCAACCAGATCTCTGGTTGAGGATGAGAGGTAATGGTCTCAAGTTACACCAGGGGAAGTTCAGGTTGGTTTAGGAAAAATTTCTTCTCCAAAAGAGTGGTCAGACATTGGAACACGCTACCCTGGAAAGTAGTAGAGTCACCATCCCTGCATGTGTTCAAGAAACATGTAGATGTAGCACTCAGGGATATCGTTTAGTGGACCTGGTGGTGGTGATTTGACAGTTGGACTGGATGATCTTAGAGGTCTTTTCCAACTTTAATGATTCTATGATTCTGTGAACCAATATCTGCACAAAGCCATGTGAGGAAATAATTCACAATAAAATTATTTTCTTCTTTTCATCCTTTTCTGCCTTCCATATAGTTTTCTCCTCTTCACACTACAAGTTCTATTATACACTGTAAACTCCTTTCAGATCTGTGGGCATGATTTGTTTGCAAAGAAGATCTCATCCTTTTTTAAAGTTCAGGGTATGTTTATTTTAAAATTTAATTTCTCACACTGATCTTGAGCCTCTACTAACTGTCAGGCTCAGACAGGGAAACAGCTTTTCTAATAGTCTCATTACTACCTTCCAAAACATTATTTGCTTACATTTAGTAGAAATTTTAAGATTTTATTTTCACGGTTGAGGCTTTCTATTTATGTTCTTAGTTTTGTATGGTTTACTTTTCCCCAGTGCTGACATCTGCATACATTTGCACTGGCTTTTAGCGTGTGGCTCCGGATTACATTTCTGATTGCACAAAAACTGCACTGAAATAATCCTTGGTAGGGGGAATATCTGAAGGTATTTATTATCATTGAAAAAATCATTCTGAGTATGGTTTTATTTATTACTCACTCTTGTAAGACTGGGTCTCACTCTGCTCCATCCATTTCCTCTCAGGTTTCCAAAAAGAGGTCTTTAGTAGTTGTAGGGATTTTTTATTGTTTGAAAGCAGTAATTGAACCACAAAGGGTGTTCTGCACTACCTGTGTATAAACACTTCTATATTAATTTCATTTGACCAAGTTGCCCTGTACCCTGCCTTTCCACTTCAGGGGCACGGAAACTCTGTGAATCTTAATAGCAAAATAGCAAACCAGTTTCATTCTTGAGGCAATCCCCTCAGCTTCATTGAAGTTTTACTGATCTGAGTTTGAGGTCTGTGTTATTAAAACCTAAGGAAAACTCCTGAGAGACTTTTTCTAGAAAAATCAGCAAGGAACGGTCTATCCAGTCAATTGGAAAGCTATAGTCCTGTGTGCTGCATCATGTTGTATCACTGAAACAAGAACACAAAGCATTCAGCTTCCATGTATTTTACTTAAATATGTCATTGGTAGTTGTACCAGAGAATTTGGATTCATCCACTATGAGAATACTGGTTACAAAAAACAAAAAAATCTCAGATATATTTTTTTATATCTACATGTAGTTTACTCTGTACACCAATATCAGTATGGATTACAATCAAAGACTCTATATTTACTCCAAAATTTAGTTTCCCCAGTTTTCCAGTGCAGTGGCTAAGTTCATCATGGACTACTGTGATACTTTCACAATCAACCTTTCCTTGAAATATTGCTACATGGGGAAAAAAATCTGCATATATTTCTAAGCAGCAGCTGCAAACAACAATTTGGGAAAAATTTGTGGACCTGTAAACATCTGACCCATCTCTGTGTCCTCTGATCACAATGTCCCCTACAAGCTGTATGCTAATTCTTTCTATTCTGCCACCCAGCCAAGTGACTTTATTCCTTTTAGATCTTTCATCATTGATTATGTTAGGGTGTTTGCTCTACATGCTCTGGACACCCCATATAAGAACTTCAGATATATAAATAATTATGTCTAGGGTCCCTTGCCTGTGCTACTGCTGACAGACACCTGCATCTCTTGGGACTCAGAGGGCATTGAATTAGACCTGATATTTGGAAATCTACGGATATGAGGATTTGTTGAGTAAAGGAGGAAAATAGGACATGTGCGAAGGAATAGAGTGAAGTGTGAAGAAAAGGAGAGATAAGTAAGCTTTGGAGAAACTTTATAATTTAAAGGACTTAAAGGACATCAAAGGTGAAAAATTATGGTAGAAACCTGGATAAATTAAGTTATGGGTCTGCCAGGGTATAAGAAAAATAGGAATCAAAACTTCATTAAACCATGGTTTTGTGCCCTGAAAAAAACAGTGAATATTAGCACAGTAACAGAAAATTAAAGCTGCAAATGAGACCTTGTTTGGAAATAAACAACATATATAAAATATAACAACCATTTACAAGCTGAGTTGAAAAGAGAGAATTGGAGCCTTTAGATTATCATACATGCTATGCACTTTCTTTTACAAAGTGGAATTGTGCAACAATTCCACCATCATTTCAACCATTTGAAATGACGAACTTGCTCTCTGGAGTCCGTTCCTATAGGTTTCTTCTATTTAATTTCCAGTGGGTTTGCAGAAGGGAAAGGTCAGGGCCATAACACAAATATCTGGTTTGGAGGTCTTCCTTCTCATTGTTAAGGGTCATTCAGCAGTCATCTGTGTGCATTCACTATAGAAGTAGAGGAAAAAAAATATTCCCTACCCAGTGGAGTTGTCAACCCTTCCGTTAAGGTCTGGTGTAAAATACCTTTTTACATGAGCTTACAGGAACATTTTTGTCTTGCGTAGTACTTATTTCTAAAGGGTTGAGAATTCAGTTAGCTTTCTAAGCCCAACTCATCATTCGGTATGAGAGCATGGTTTAGACAGTGGCTTACACAGATTGATGCTCATCCTGCTCCTTCACAGCTGTTGGAATTATGTGTAAAGTACTACAGTCCTCCCCAGCCCTCACATTCGTTGGCAGGTTGTGTAGTAAACACTTTTGTGTTACCTGGAGATCACACATCTGAAGGACAGGACTTCCCTCAAAGCAGAAGCTAGAGCACCCATGAACTTGGCAGTATTTCTGGGTTTTACAGTAGCACAAACTGACAATCAGTGATGAGCAACAGACAGTCACTCATTTTCTGATGTCCTTGGTTCATGGCAGGCACAGAAAACTTTGTATCACACAAAACAGAACACAGTAAATATGACACTAATTTATATTTCTTTGGTAAGCTTTCATGTTGGATCTTAATCTTTTTAAAGTTTCTGTCTTTGAGACTTTTTAGATTTTGAATACAGTTTTCCTTAGTGTTGATAATGAAAGTATTATAAGAAACTCTGCCCTTTTCCTCAGAAACAAGTTATTTTGTTTGCTGCTTGATAACAACTTTTGTTTTTTAACAATATTAATGACCATTTCACTTCTATAAGCCCTGATTACTTTGTGGAATTATCTTTTTGAATTAAAGGAACATCCTAAATTCATTTATTTTCAGTGGACTTTCCTTATCCGTGCTACCAGTACCGCTGAATTTTTTTACACATTACA